CTGTTGAGCAAGAAATGTTCTAACTTTTATTCTGTAACAAAACTTACTTAGTCGTATTTTATGTAGCTCTATATCATTTTTTATCACACAATGTCAAGATATCATTCATACTTGTTTCAAATTTTCAGCAATAATTGGTACTTATGCACAACTCTTTAATTGTTTAAAAAATTTTAATAATCTCTATTCTTCTCGTTCTTGTGGGATAGTTTATATCCACTTGTATAAGTAAATTTGTCGTATGTATTTTGTGATGACAGAGAAATTAGGAAAATATTTGATTGTTTCTAGATAATTAATATTATTTATCAATGTCAATCAATGTCAGTAGTTCGTTAGAAACATCCAATATAACAAAAAATGAATCGCATGTAAGTTGTGACAATTATAAGATATAATTATAAATATTTCATAATAGGAATTAAGTTATCGAACGAAAGAATTAAAACAATCATTGATTATTTGGCGTAATGTTTTAGTACTAATAAATAATTTACTTGAATGGGAACATAAATATGATTCATTGATTATTTTTGGAATAATAACTTTTATTTTCTTGTAAGATCAATGTTTTATTCAATTAAATATAAACTATTGAATTTTAGCTGTATTCGTGAAATAAATCCACCTATACTTACACTTATCAGTTGTCTTGTTCTTATAGTAGTACTTATTGATGTACTGGCACCAATAGGTATTCAAATTGTATTTAAAAACGAAGATTGGCAAGTTCAAATAGAAATAATTTGAATTAATATCTCTCTAGAAATTTTTGTTTAGGACATCTACTAAAGAAGCTAAATATTCAAGATTATGCGAACGTATTGCAAATCTTGAACAACACATTAAACATAAATGTGAATTAGTTTTGAAAATACGTAAAGAACGACCATCAATGGTATTATTATTGTAAAAATCTTCTATTAAAATTTATTATTAATTTTTTCTTTAGTATTTAATGATTGGTAGTATATGTCTTGCTTTTATTGCATTTTGTTGTCAAAATATCGATAATCTTCTTCTTAGTTATTTAACAAGTAAAATTTCATTATATTTAAAATGAAATAATCGAAATAGTTTCGCTTTTTATTTCTTGTTAAATATAGCTCTTATTCTTTGCCTTACACCTGGTATACGTGATCGACAATTAATACCATTGATTCGTCAATATATAGATGGATTTTTGAATAATAAAAAAATAGTTTCATCATATGAAAATGAAGAGAAAAGAACTCAATAAACTTTATCATATTAAAAAGCAATATTCTTTGTATTTTTTTTAAATGAATAAAATCATTGTGTATGTAAAGATTGTGTGCATTTAAAAAGGAAATTTGATTTCAGTTTTATTGGTAAAGATTTATGTTTTTTCTATTCAATAAAAAAAAATAAAACATATAACTATTGTATGTGAATAGAAAATGATCGAACTAATCAATGATAGTAACATGTTAAAGAAGTAACACTCTTTCTTTCTGAATCATGAAAAATTACTGCTTTTCTTTAGGCAGAATTAAACATTTGTCTTGCATTCTGGTAGAAAAATATTCTAGTCCTCCAAAGAAAATTACGATGCTCCTCGATCAATGTCAACTGTCTCGGGCTACAGCTGGAGCTAACGATCGAAATTATTTATTCGAATTCCTGATTGGGTATCTTTTTCTGAGTATGTCATGATCATTATTGATAACAGTTGCTCTAGTTCTGTGTTAAAACATTTTTAGTGTTATATTCAATGATTTTGTTCAAATTTTCTCTTCCGCAGGAGCAATTACAGCTCCAGAAGAAAAAAATATCTCTTTTCGGAAGTAATGGCACATAGTATGTAGTAAAATAACTATAAACTCTGGAAGAATCTACTCTATATATGAACCATACTTAATTGATTATATGTTCGATCAAAATAAAAATTAATCTTTTTAAAAAATATATTTATTAAAAATGCAATGACAGTATATTTTCAGAAGCAAGTTAAGTTTATTATTGTTTGTTAGTTTTTGAATTCTATTAACAATACCCGACATGGTTTGTATGTAGATTCTTGCAATTATTGTTGACTTTCTGTTTTTTTTTACAATGATCTATTTTTTGATTCTCAATAAATTCAATACATCTATATTTTTTTGTAATTAGCAAGTGTTCTAAGAAAATAGTTTTGGTTAATAAATCCCATGAATTTATATTTATTGGAAAACAGTCCAAAACAGTTTTGTTTATATTCTTTTCTAGGCAACACTGATTCTTTATATATTCAAATAAACAGATGGAGAAATCAAAAAGTAAAGAATTTTATAAAAGACTGTTGACCAGCTGAGACTTCGAACCATTTAGAACCAAATGTTTTCCTTGAATATTACCTATATCAAATAGGTTTTTTCAAGATGACTTCAGTTCTTTGTTATAGTAACTATAGTTAATATTAAATTTTCATTGGCATGCACTAAATCCAAACCTTCGAGTTCAATCTAATACAGACACAACATTGTCTACTATCAAAATATTTCGGTTGAAATAAAAGTTTTTAGTTTTTTTTAATCTGTCAAGTGATCTTCTCTTTTTTATGTTAAAGCTATTGAAATCGATTAAAGATATAGATATAATTAGTACTAATGTTCTTTCTTAAAAGTATTGTTCATATATATGATACTGAGAAGTTTGATGCACAAAGTCTCAGAAGTAAAAAGCTACTTTTTTTTGTACCGAATGAAACTATTCAATATCAACTAGAAATGTCCGGACGAAACCAGTTCCAGTAATTTCTTATCTAGTGATCTCGGTCATGAACTCGAGAAATCTAATCTAGTTTCGATACAGAGAAAACGATGCCAGAATCGATTCGTATCACGTCTAAAAAAGTCCTTCAATATTCGGTTTTGCTATTTGTTTAGTCAATGACTGGCACTTTTTTCGATCATTTGTATTGAATTGTGTTCTGATTGATATGATTTATAAGATACTTCTCTAAAACTATAGAAATATTCAACTATCTTTTTTAGTTTTAGTTAGGATAACTTTTTATCGTAATCCTAATCTCGCTGAACCTTCAAGTTTTGATGCTTAACATCTCCAGTTCGAACGCTAATTCCGAGTTCGAGTTTATTGCATGCTAAATTTGTCATCTTCGATAGTATTTAGTATCAAACTGATATTTTTATCGTTAAATATTTCTTTTTTTATGCTTGTTCTGAAAGAATTGCTGCTTTATTCATTGTATATTCCATTGAATAGATGCTAGTCATAAGAGCTTTCATCAAATATTATCATGAAAACTTTGCTGACACTGATAATACTCATAAGGAAATTTATCTAGAATGTATTTGAAGAGGTTTTATTGGTATAAAAAAATAATGATTACCTTGAATGAAAGACAGGTTGATATTTTTAATTTTTTTATGCTAACAAGACATGCACCAAAGTTATCATATATTGAACATACACAAAAAATTGTTTTTCGACATCAGTTAAAACAAAATATAAGTTAAAATAAACGAGTGATAATTCAAAGTAATTTTAACTTGAAGTGCGAAATAAATATGAAACTTTTAAGAATAAGAGAGAAAAATTATCAAGTTTTGTCGCTTGATAAATACTTTTTTTCGAACATCTGAACACGAGCCTTGATGGTGATGTCTATGATATACAGTTTGATATCTGTGGTAAAATAAATCAATCTTGATTATTCTTTTTATTTTCTTTTTCAACATGCATTTCAATATTAAGAACTTTATACAAACTGATTTTATTTAGAAGATCTTCATTGATAGAAAATTATTGATATTGTACAGTAATAAATGTTATTTGAAAAACAAACAAAGTAGTTATCTATCTGATGAATAAGAGATCAAAATTCGAATATTTTTATTAATTTATGTAAACTTCTACTGATAGTTTTAGATTTTTTTTCTACACTTTACGATGCCCATGGTCTTTTGAAATTTTATAATGACTATATTTCAAACTATGAGTAAAAATATAAAACTAATCTTCGTATTGATATTTCGTTCTATTCTTTTTTCGCACAATGATGTTTTTCAAAAATTTAATCATAGGATAATAGACATGTATGGTAACAGCTGCTGCTTACACTCTTTCCTCCGATTTTTTGATCTATAAAATATTTCAAAATTTATTAAATATATCGACAACTAAAGAATATGTATTGATACATATTATCGTATATCATTCTTATTCAAGAGTTTTCAAAGCCTAGAGACTAGCTATTCAAGGACATAAAAGCAGTTTATGGAAATTGTTGGTGAAGGTAATTGATTTTTTTTCTCTATAGCATAAAGATTGGGGGCGACCATTTTTCGACGATATCACGGTCCATAAGAATACAGAAGAACATCTTCTGATCACACTGCATACAATGAGTAATACTAATAAACTTCATTGCTTTAAGTTGATTTGAATTACATGGTAGTTTAGAGACCTACGTCTCTAACTTTTACATGACTCTTGAGATGTCTTGAATAGTTCATTTCTGAATGATAGATATATCATCTTTGTGTCTCAACCTATTCGAATAATTTTTTATAAATAAGTTCAAGATTTTTAACTTGAATTCGACTGATGTATTAATGTGGTTTTTTTTTCTTTGATTCAGTATTTAAGGAATCGATCAAAAACGTTGAAGGAAAAAAATAAGCCATCGACAAACAAAAGCTACTAGTATGAATCAAACATGAAATTTCTGTTTTTCAAGAAACAATCATCAAGCTTAGTAAGATAAAAATTAATATCAATGATTCAAATATCATACTAATCTTTTGACGTCGTTTATATTCGTTTTTTTCCTATTCCTCGACATACACTTATATATATATATATATTCGACTTAAATTTAGTTATTTTATCTTTCTTTCTTTTTCTCTCTGTAATCATCATCCGGACGGATAGTGTTACTATCTTATTATTTATCTTCTTTTTCATTGTGCATATTAGTTTCATCTGGTTTTTGTTCTCATACTTCGTTTTCTTTTTCTACGTTCTAAATAATCATGGCCACATATTTCGATCTTATTGCTCGACCGAATGACCCTATTAAATCGAAAACGACAGGTAAGTTTCTTAAATTATCAAATTCATCAAATGATTTGAAAGTGCCTAATGATTGGGATGTTAAATCAGGTGATATACTTCCATGCAGTGATTATCGAACAACAGATACTTATTTGTAAGTTCTATTCGAATTAAACATTTTATTTTGTGTCAATCAATAATATTTTTCTTATTAGTATTACACATGAAAATACACTTTTAAAAAAACACAGATACATCTGCTGCTGGTTATTTAACAATTCCATTTTCCATTAGTTCATTAGTTCTTGATACTGTTATATTATTATTCTTCTGTTTTGAATTCTATTGATCGTAATAATGTTATATCAATTGAATTAGCACCTAAAGATTTGCTTTTTGTTTCACATTTTTCAAAAGAACCTCTTCCAAAATCAATTATAAATCGTAATGATATATCATATTCATTTGATCCAAATGATAAGATACACTATGTTATGATATCATCCAGTTCTAATCAATGTCAAGATTTTTCATTGAATACAACTAAAACGAATGATATTATTAATTGGATTTTAATATCAAATGAATCAAAAATTAAATTTAATGTTAAATTTAATTTCGAAGGTAAGGAAATATGTAATAAAGTTCCTCAAGGTATCATTACTGGATTACCTATTGGATGGCAATGTGAACAAAAAGGTGTTTTAATATATACTGAAGATAAAATTCAAAGTGAATCAATAGGTGAAGGGCCAGAAAAAACAAAGATAATGCGCGAACAGCTATTGAACATTTTTATAATGGATTAAATAGAGAAACTATATAATTTCATTTTTTAGATTAAAGTAAAAAGAAAATCAAAACAAAAGTTTTTAAATATTATGGCTTTAGCAGATATTTTGCATGATCGAACGGCTCGTTATTTTGATTTAGTTAATAATCCTGAATTATTAAAAGGAATAGATGGTCTTCCAATAGCTGATTCAGACTTTAAAGATTTTCCAGCTAAAGGAACAAAGATTCCAGATAATTGGGATGTTAGTTTTGGTGATGTTCTTAATTGGTCAAAAGGACGTCCAACAGAAGCTTATTTTGTTATGGAAGATCGAACATTATTAAAAAATCCTGATCGTACTGGATCAGGTTATTTAACTATTCCATTTATTATTACTAGTAAGCAAATTTTTTTTTTTCAATCATTACTATTTATTTTCTTGATTAGAAAATACTCGAAATGCTTTGCTTAAATATGAATATGTCATAAATGGTATTGGTAAAGATTATGTATCGACAGTAGAAATGCATCCTGATGATGTATTTATTGTAAAAAATTGGGGTCAAGTGCCTAGCGAAATGCATTCACGTAATGTGGAATTTATTTATGATCCACTTGAAGAATTTCTTTATGTAAATATTCCATATACATCAAAATCAAAAGAATTTAAATTAGGTTCAACAACAATGAAAGATATTGAAACATGGTTTTCTGGGTAATAAAAAACATAGAAATTGTTTATTATTTTCATTTGTTTTTTTTTTTAATTTTATCTTTTAGTGCATTAGAAACTCAAGCATCTTTTCGAGTTAAATATGATTTTTCAGGTCCACAATTTCAAAAATATCATGATTTATATCGATTACATGAAGAAGATTTCTCATTACCAAAAACATGGTCTGCTGAACCTGGTACAACACATGTAGGTCATGACTTTTGTCGTGGTGAATGGATTTTTCATGGTTTGTGTTTTTTTTTTCTTCTTTGTTTCATTTTTGAATTACAATCTGACTTCTAGGTGATCATAAACATTTGCATGAAGCGAAAAAGAATATACAAGATTTTTATAAGGATCTGGTTATTGGCATTGAAGATATACCACATACAACAGTTTCAATTGTTTAACAAATCTTTGATTGACTCATTTATATTTCATTTATTATAATCAAGCTGTTTTAATCGCTTTTTAAATATTATATCTATTATAAATTAGAAAGTTTAGAAGAAAAAAAAAGAAAAACAAGAATTGCATTATGTATTGATTTTATTTTTCATGAAATATTTTTCTTTATACAGAAAAATTTAATAAATCCAGAGATATTTTCTTAGATGAATTTTTATGAATGCAATCACTATTGTTTGAATTAATGAAAGAATCATTATGTAGTTCAGCATAAACATCATGTCAAATAGTGGCCATAAAAATCATCTTGTATGTCATTGATTCACCATAGTCTTGCTATAAATCTTGTTCATTGATTCCATCACTTCTATAATTTATCATTATCAGAACTTGATGAAGTTGATGAATCGGTTGGCACTTCTTCGAATCCTTGAGCATTATCATTTTCGTATTGTACCATTCCGTCTTCCATTGTTTGTGTTTGTCTTAGTTTAAACAAATTTTTTTCTGTTGAAATGTCAAATGTCTACTTGCACTTGCCTTTTATAGCAGTTGAATGACTACACTTTTTTCCTTTTCTTTATCTGCACAAAATCATACCTGAATTTTACTTGAGCATCGGATGACTCAGTGTTATGTGTATAGACGACGTCAACAGAACGATTCGTTGTCAACCAGACGATTGACCTTCAACAGTAAGTGTGAAGAATTAACTATACTTACATTTACAATAATTCAATAAACATACAATAAACATTAATTTAATGATGTTTTTTGGTTCAGTTCGTTAATTACAATATAATTGAGATTTGAAACTAAAATCTTTCTTATTCAATAGAAATCTAGGATAAAATGCATTTAGAACAATAAAAATGCATACTTTTTGAAATTTAATTATATAAAAACAGCAGGCCTGGAAAGATTTACATACTCATTGTTTGGTGATGTTTGTTTTGGTTGACATCAGACATATTCATTAATTTTTAATTTCTTTACACAACAGCAAAATTCGACTTTCTATAGCAACAAAAAAAATGAAGACATGTTCACAGCAAAAGATTATCATCTTTAGTTCAATGATAATGATCGAAAATGTAATTTGATAGATAATCTACTTCTCCTTGTTGAGAATATTTTATGTTAACAATTAATGCACTATCTGATATATATTTAACAATATGATATTTTCAAACCATTGTTCTATGTAGTGAACTAGTGAGTACAGTTTACACTTCTGAATTCAGTATCTAATGAATTAAAAAAAAAAAAGGAAAAAATAAGCACAAGATAAATCATCATCTCGTCTTTCATCCATTGATATTTCTGCTCCACACTCCGTATCACTTGACCTATTCTCAAATACAACATGTCAAAAAAGTAAAAACATTTGAAAAGTAAGACTAGAATATATTTGAGTATGTTGGTTTCTTGAAAATTGTTTATACTATTCAAACTAGACTTTGATTATCATCATGTCATAAACAGTTATCCTCAAATAAATCAAGCCAGCTGTTTCGTTCGAACTTTTGTTTCATATTCGTTCTTCTTTTTCTTTATGTTTCGAAGAAATCACATTTTGCTGTTCTGTAAAGAAACCCACTAATTATTATGATTATACTACGCATCAGCCAAAACAAATACAAACAAAAAACGAATACGCAAGATTTTGCACTTGTGTTGCTCGGCAAAATTGAATTTTAATGAAAAATTAGTTTAGATTGATTTAAATGAATTTAATAAATATCGTTATTCGATTCAGCACGATAAAATAACTATTTCTTATTTAGATATTACTAAATGACAACTAGTTTCAAGCACATTTGAATTTTGTTGTGATCAATGTCGTCATTATTTGAACCATAATTATTTAAATGTCTCTAAAAACAATAATAACAAAACTAAATAAAAACTAAAATTTATACTTTTATTATTTTGATTACAGATAAAATTCTATTGAATTTTTTTTCTTATCATTGAATAGATAATCATCTTTCCAAGTTAATAGAGGAAAAGTCATTTTCAATGGATTTTAAGGCATATATTTCGCACTATTGACAATGATTATAATATTATTTTGTTACGTTGCCGAAATTGAATTAGTGATTGAAAGAATGAAGTTTCTGTAGACAATGAAAATGTCACGGCGAATGACTTATTATAGTAATTGATTTTATGTCGTTTTGCTGAAGATGATTTTGATCGACAATTTAACAATTATCAAATATCAGATAAAATTTATGTATATGCGAAACTAAACCCTACGATTTACTTTATTTAAAACAAAACTCAATGCGACATTAAAAAAATGAGCTGATATTGAATATGAATTGTGAGAAAACTTGTGAAGATTTATATTTTGTATAGTATTTATAATGAATGTATCGATAATTGTTGTGAATTATTAGTACAGTAATTTGAATATGAAGGATTTATTCGTTATTTCTATACTGAACCAAAACATACTGATGTTCATTCAATTTGAATATATCAGCAAAATGGATCAAAGTTATACGAATCTAAAAGACGTCTTTCTTGAAAAATTCAAGTTGAAAAAATGATAAAAATAAAAGGTGAAGATATCTCAGAAAAATATATTTCATTTTCTTCCACTTTTTTTTATTTTTCTATTGATGTTCATCTTTGAGAAACGATTATTTGGCAAGTCAATTCTCATTGTTTTATGATCATATAATTTAAATTATAACTGAAGTAAAAAGGATTTTGATATTTTATCGTCATCATGCATTAGTTTAGTGGAAGAATTTTCAATTTAATATTATATTCGCTAAATATCATGAACTTAAACTATCATATGAAGGATACTTTCGTCTGTTATGAGTAATTCTAGTTCTCGACAAGAGTACAACCAATCAGGCTAATAATTTCACTGCAGATATAGCATCTACAATAAACAGATAAGTATTTGAAGAGAAAAACTTCAAAGAGTTTTTATAAAAATACTGTAGTTTTTCATGAAATCGCGTCCTGGTGCATTACGATCTGGATTAAATTTTGCCTGATTTAGCTAAAACGTTTTTGGATATATTTAAGACTATACCTTATAGGTCAAATTTTTAGAATCCTATAAATTCGAACACGAAAGTCAAAAATGAAAGTAGCTGATTCTACTTCTACAGAATATTTCGAAGTATCTATTATAAAAATTTTAGTTCGATCAGACAAAATTAGAGAGGATCGTAATGCACCAGGATACGAGCTTAGGATAATAAGAGTTTCTTCATAAAATTCTCTTTAAACTATGATCCTTCTGAAATGTGTCTCGTTATTTTACCTACTGTATTCATGATAAAAGTTTCAGCCTGATCGGTTTAAGTTTCTTCGTAGTTTCATTTTAAAGAAAATAGTAACATCGTTATATAGTAATTAAATAAAAAAAAAACAATCATATGAACACATAGAAAACAAAAGAAGAAGCAGTGAAAAATCCAATAATTCTTAATTTTGAAAGAAATAGTTGATTAATATTTATAATGTCCGTATTTCAACAGTACAGAAACACTTTTCATTCAACTTAGATATTGCAGACATACCGTGGTCAGACAATCATTCAACTGAGTTTACTTGACAGTTCTCCTTGGTTATTGCGAGCCCATCTACCGTAAGGGTCAATCGAATGGCATTGTGTATTTCTGACATTAGTTAAAACATGCTCATGATTGTATTAATGCATGACAATTAGTATTCCAAATATAGAATAGACTTTATCACATGAAATTATGCAATCTTTGCTGTTGGGCAGAATATTTAAGTGTCAAGGACTTTTCCAATTACCGATCTAGTCTGCTGAATGACTGGCAATACTTAATGGATCGATGTCGTCGAAAACAATTATTACTATTTCAAGCTAGCCCAAGATGAGTGTCTCTCCTGTTATAGGTGATATCAAGACAGAGAAAACAAGAAAAAAATGTAAAGAGTAGGTATCTTTGATTAATCGACATCATGAATACACTATAATTATTCTTTCACAATATTTTAAGAATCGAACTAAAAAAGATTTCTTTTCTAATCAATACTTTTTTCAATCGTAATACTCTATGTATATACTTCATCTTATACGTACAAACTGAAGAGAGAATCATACAAATATCAGATATCTGTAAATCAAGATAATGCATTCATAAACCATCTGTATTTTTGATGAGATTGCATAACAAAACTTGCTTATAATGTATTTTTCTCGTTGATGTTGCTAAGTTTAGAAACCAAAAAGCACATCTTCAGTTAGAAATCAATGAGCTCTATCAAACACAATCATTTTGAGCGCAGTTTGATTTTATTTCTGCATCGGTTTCTGTAATACTCAAAAATCATAATGTTTTTTAAAATTATTGAAAAAGTTGAAATTTGTTTTTCCTTGAATTCTAGTCAAAAATACATCATTTCATGTAGAACTCGATGCTGACGCTGAATATCTGTTTACTTTTGATATTATTCCAACCGAAACTGTATTTTTTAGGATAAGAATAAAATACAGTACGCTCAATATTTTTTGTATAACTCAACTGCAACTAGAGAAACATAAATGAAATTTATCATTAGTAGTAAATCTAAGTGCTCTCTATCAATGACAAAAAAAAACTTACAATGCTTACTTTTGTCATAGTGGAAATACAAATATTACAGTGGAAAAACATGAAGTTCAGTAACGTTTACTCATATCGAACTAGGTGATGAGTCATTATAGAGTTTACGTACTTTTAGTAGATTCTATCTAATAATAAAAGCCTCATCTCAAACGTTTTTGCTACCTGGGAGTGTTTTTTTTCGTTAGTTATAAAAAGCATACAGAGAGAAAACAAAAAAAAAACAACATGTGTTTTTGTTTGGTCCTTATATAGATGTTTGATAAAGTTTGAGTAGTCTTAGTTTCTACGTCACTCTTCACTTCATCAATCAATTCATTTTATTTGAAAAGAAAACTTTTTCTTATGTTCCAGTTATGTTTATCTAGTCTATCACAAGTAAAAAGGGTATGACT